TCTTTGAACTTCTCCTTGTCCCATCGGTCTGTCTGGGTGGCGTTTTGCAGGTTCTCCAATTCCAAATTGGACATGGAGTGTTGGCAAGCTGCGCAACAGGCAATGCAACAAGCACACAGCATGAAAAGAAGCCAGCCACCAATCACTACGACCCCAAAAAGGATCAGGACGCCAAAGAAAATGTCGTCAACAATGAAAAAGTCGAGATCCACGACATTCTCCATCCGAAGCTCCTGAAGTTCCTCCAACAATGAGGCATTGAAACCAACGCCCGCTTCAACGAAGCTGTGAAAGCCTTGACGAACCATGAGTCTCGCAGATATTACAGCAATCTTCTAACCTTCGGCAGAGCCAACAAAGGCAGCTGAGACAAGGGTTGTCACTACCAATGGGCAGGTTTCGCAGCCAAGATTCTCAAGGAAAATGTATGATAATGTATGTTGTTATCAAGACCGCAGTCGCAGGTGTCCCAAGTTTTTGTGCTATTTCGCAACATCAGTGGGTACATCATGGCTGGGTGGCCGGCCCTTTGCTTCAAATCAACAGCATGTGAAGCGATGCCGAACACTGCTTTCCGAAATACCTGCCACATCTACACGGTGCAGAAAAGCTTCACAAAGCGGAGGCTTTCATACACAGCGCGCTCGAAGAAAACACTTTTGCTGCGACTTGTGAGTTCTGCCGAATTCTGCTGCACGTTCTTTGTGGAGCATGGCAGCTGCCTCCACGGAGCTTTCGACTGCCCACCGGAAGGTAGGGACTGACTTCAAGAGTTAGAAAGAGCATGAAAGAGCTAACTTCAAAAGCAACTCTTTTCCAGCCGCCTTCGGTACAACACAGGGTGCCAAAAGAGTTACAGTATATAAATCAAGAAGTTTTTATTTTCAAGAGCCTTGGTTGACATGTACACATCTGAAGAATGTGTATATATATATATACACGTCTGATGTATAAAACTCTGTTGCAAGGTGTTTTTTTCCTGAATGTCTTGTTGCATGGTTTGCTGTTTGGGGTATATTTTTGGGAGGCTAGGAAACTAGAAAGGTTTGAAGCAGGGATGTAATTTATATATTTACAGTGTGCCTTTTTGGATGTCTGTTTGCACAACTTGCTATTTGGGGTACTTCTTTGGGAGATTAGGAAGATAGAACGCACAAAGCCAAGACCAAGTGGAGCATCCAGGTATAATTAACTCTGGAGTTGATTCTTGGCAGAACAACTGCAAAGAAAGTATACCTAAGGAATCTACTACTGTATGAACAAAACAAATGAAAAAAATTGACTCTGGAGTTAATTCTTAGAACTGCCAGCAGACCCAAACGAAAGAACTGAATCAAGAGTTGATTCGTCTAAAACTCTGAAAAACACACCTTTTGCCACCGGAAGACTCCCAGAAAGTAAGCTGTTCAATCCAAGAAAGCAAGCTTTCGGTCTTTCGGTGGCTTCAGATCGCAAAGTGGCCGGTTCGGAGTAGTAGGGCGGACAGGAAGCTCTGCTTACTAGCAAGCGAGCGAGCGCGCAAAGTGTTTGATGTGCGCTGGGCGCCGTGCCCCGTGTTCCCTAACGTTTTTGAGGGTCATGAGCAAGGAAACGTGTGCAAAGAAAGCACAATATGCAATGGATGCCGAGCTCTCTGTGGGCAAGCGAATCACAACTCCACGCAAGGATGGTGCTCGACTTGCGCTCCCTCTTTTGAAACCCACCAGCAAGCCCGCTGGCAGGTGTTTCAAGGTCATTCATGTGTGTATGGTACTTTCTGGAGAGTGGGCGCTTGATGTGCTAGCTGCCAGTGTTCCATGCAGGCTTAGGTGCTGTTGCCGTGTTCAACTATGCTGTGTTATGCTTTGAATGTGTGCTCAAGTTTGGCACAAGCCAGCACGCGTGCGATTGTCGAAGTATAAGGTTGCAAGGGCGTTGTCAATCGAAACTTTGTGTGTAGTATATATATATAACTGTGTCATTTTATTGCACTCTTGCAATGTTGGAAAATCAACTTGAATCATCTTGAATCCAGCGCAAGCAGTGCCTTGTCACCAAGTCGTTCAAAGGCTTCAGCCAAGCCTCGATGTGTTTGCGCACTCTCTTGCCTCAAAGAATTCAGGTTGCCAATGTGGAAGGATCGGGAATTGATTTCAGTAACAGCAATATCCATGTTCTCACCGCGTAAATGTGTCAACTGTAATCTTCTTGCTGTGTCACGATACTGATTTGGAGCATCACATGAAACATGAACCTGGGTCAAACTCTGGTCCTCAAGGAAAACCTGCGAGTCCTACAATTTAGGATGGTGGATGATGGTGGTGTATTGGTGTATGTCAACCATTCTTCAAGAATTTGCATAATCAATTACTTTTTTGTTGCCCAAATGCCAGGACACAATGAAGCCACTGCTTGAAAGGCTTCAAGAGCCACGCTCGCATCACCAGACTGACCGCACACACTCTCTTCCACGTGTACTAGATACCACAACTTGCACCATACATGGAAGACTTGAACCAATTGATCTTTGGATTGGATTTTGGGGTGAAAACACGCTCAAAATGGCCACGCCTTCAGTTGTTCTGTTGCTAGCTTTGGTAGCAAGGCGCGTGGATCTTGGAGCAACGCTTTGGCCTCTTCCATTCGCCCTTGGAGAGTGAGCCGAGCACCTCGCTGGTCTTGCTTTTGAAGAGTGGAGAGTGAAGCACAGAAGTCTTATACAGTCCCAAAAACCTCCAAAACCAAACTTAAACAAAGGGTGGGAAACGAGATTCGCCTACGGGCCTACCACAGCCAAAGCTTCTCGCCACTTTCGTGCACCAGGATCCAAGGGCTCAGAATTCGGAGCCAGGGCGGTTTTCAAACCTTCCGAGTTTCGACAGAATGGCCTCCAACCTAAAAGCGATGGCCTTACAACCCAAGAGCAGGCGAAAAAGGCAGAGCTGACCGCAGCTGACCCAGCCTTGCTGGAAGTGATGCATTGACCTCTCATCTGTGGCCGGTAGCTGCCAAGTGCTCAGCAAAAATTCCTCTTCACTGTTGCTCGGGCCTGCCATGCAGCAGTATGGACCTCACAATCCTTACAGAGTGTCATTTCACTTGATAGCAAAAAATACAACACGTGCCTTCTGTGTACGCCACCCACAAACAGCTCAGAAGCTCTCTCCCAGCTCCAAAAGTTTCTGGAGCTTCCCGGCAAGGAGCTAAGCCCGGAATCCGGACTAAATCCAGGTCGAGATTGCAAGATCTCTGCCGGAAAAGCTTGCTCCAACAGCGAGATGCTTGGTACAAAGATCCACGAAGGCTAGGAAGGGGCAACGAGTCCTTTGAGCAGGAGGATACAATTCTTTCAGGCAGCTTGGCACGCTGGAGCTTTGTGGGCTTTGCTCCCGTGGCCTCGAGTGGTGGGTTCGTCGGCTCCTTTCCGACCAGCTTTGCCAGCTTTCGGAGCACGGATCCCAAACGCAAATGTGCCACACTCTCCGGTGCGCCGGTGGGTGCACGCAGCGCACTCTCATACATCGTCGCTGCTTCTGCCAGTCTGCTGCTGTTCCCCCTAGCTTGTGACTCCAGGAATGCCCCAAAAATCACCATGGCCATGCCTTGGGTACTCGATGGCAGGGTGCAGAGTCGCCGAAAATGTTCCTCTGCACTCTGAACATCCACATCTTGCAGCATCACAGCAAGGTTCAATCGGACCTTGGGCGCATCGGCAACATCATCTAATTGCTGCCTCTCCGCCAAGAGCAATGCCTTCTTGTAGTGCTCAATTGCAAGTGATTTTGATCCAGTGGCCAATTTTAGTTGCCCAAGCGTGGCGTGGGCATGCCAGTATCCTGCATTCAATTTGATTGCCGCTTCAGCGTGCCAGATTGCCTCCTCCAAGTTTCCACCACTATTCTGCAGCCTTGTAGCTAAAAGATCATGTAGTTTTTCGTTGCGCGGGTTAGCTGTGAGAGCGGAACGGTAGAGACTCTCTCCTGTCCACCAAACTTTGCTGTGTTCAAGGCATGTCCTCGACCAAACAAAAAGCACCAACAGCAAAGCCACGCCAACCACGCCTTGCCGATGGCCTTGCCAATGGCCTTGCGAATGGCCTTGGCGGCCTAGTTGAAGGAGGAACCGCGCCAGAATTGCCGAGGAACCAATCGACGGAATGTAGAGCACACGCTCGGCGACCGTGAACCCCACCGTGAAAAGCAGGTTTGAGACCGGCAAAAGTGACATTAAAAGCCAAAGACTGGAAATCAATATGCCACGGTGGACTCCTTTTGCTGCACCATGTTCTCCTGGCAAAACGAGAATGGATCCACACGTATCCACACTCTTTTCCAAGGTGTGATCAGTTTACCACACTTTATGTTTGACTCTATACGGTACCCTGTTTGTCTTAGTTATGCCAAGCCTCTGCTAAGTTTGAAGAGACACCACGGGAGTCCATAGATCACCCACAAAGGTATCATTGCACGCAAGTCCCTTGCACTTGCCAGTGAGGCTATAGACATGTAGCTCCAATCGCAGCATAACGGCCATGGCCAAATCAACAAGCGCAAATGCCTGACTGACCAATGATGCGCTTACAGGAACTACCTACCACATGCTCAGTTGCCAATGCTCCGTTTCTCATCATCTTTTCCCAAACAGGTTGTTTGGAGCTAAGGGGTTCGTACCGTCGTACAGTCAACGTAAAGCAGGTTTCCTGGCCAGGGTTCGCGTATGTTGATCCTCTGTTTTCCTTCACGTAAAGAATTGTCTTCCCACTCGTTGCATGGCGATTCTTCTTGGCACGTGCAGTACTTTGGTGGGCCACGTTTCGCAACTGCGCTCTCGTGGTGGCGGTCACTTTTTGTGACCAGTGCAAGGGAATCCTTATTCTTGGTTGTCTCAAGTTGAATTTTCGTGGCAGTCGGAGGGGATCGGAGCTGTTTTACTTGGTGGTGGTCTCTGCCGAGCTGAGATTTCGTGACACTCGCTGTGAACAAACATTGGACTTGTGGCTCGTTTCTCAAATTTGGGCTCTCGCCCGAAAGCGCTTTGGTCTCTCAGAGTTGTCTTCGGAAGTGCCGCTGTTGCAAAACGCACTGGCACGGCCGTGCAAAACCTGCAACTGCAGATTTATGCATGGCACTCTGATCTCGCTAATCTGAATATTTCGTGGTAGGCGCAGCACTTTTGCTGGTCTTTCGTGTGTATGTGTGTTTTCATGTGTGTTTTCTTATTTGTGTATGTGTTCTCATGCACGTGCTCTCATATGTCACTCTCATGTCATATGTGTGCTCTCATGCATGTGCTCTCACATGTGTTTGTGCCCTCACGCGTGTTGTAGCAGCTGTTAGCTCTCAAATTTATGCTCTTCTTGGAGGGAGTCTCGTGCGAATATCTCTTCTCAGACATAGCCGGTGCATCTCCTGGCTCAGAACTGGCCACTTGGAAGTACAAATGTAGTACGCGGAATAGTTTCTGCGAGGTCACTTTCAGAACTGGCGATTTTGTAGTCCAACTGTAGTGTTGGGAGTAGCTTCTGGATCTAGGGCTTCAGAACTGGTGACTTCGTAGTACAAGTGTAGTAAGCACGCCAAGTGCAAGGACCTAACGGCTCAGAATACAAATGTTACTTCAGTTTCCCTCAATTTGTCCGGCGGGCCTGAACAAGTAGTAGTGAAGAGTCAAGACTCTGGTGATGGGGTCTGCTGCGAAGGCACCAGGGTTTGCCTCTGGGTGAATAAACGGACGAGCCTGCATCAGGGAGTCCAATGAAGCTGCAAGACCGTTTCTTGACACAGCTGAGGTAGAAGTTGCTTCACAGCGCCACGAGCTGCAGAATCCCTAAATTATCATGTCATTGACTCATGTCATGCCATTTCATATCATATAACATTTTATCATATGATTTCATTGTGTAATATTGTGTATATGTATGTGTATATATATATATTGCAGGGTGCGATCTAACTCGGGATGTTCATTGTTTCTTCGGGACTCGTTCCATCCTGGGGGCTCACTGTTCGCTGCTATTTGATTATTTGCAGCATGTTGGGCTCCACATCCGCAGCCAATGTCAGCAGTTGGGGATCACATTTCCCTGCTTGACAGGAGTTGGGGTGTCCTGTCTTGACTTTCTGTTGGTTTTTACAACGTTTTGGGCATCACATCATCACACCCTCTACATCCACAGCTAGCGGTGCAGTGCAGCGTGGTCGACATTTAAAGAAACGGCGCAGCAATTGGAAGAGATTTCATGGCGCTGGAATCCTGGAACGGAGTTGGGGGGAAGGCGCGCCTCCCCCTCGGGGTGAACCAAAAAGAAAAAATAAAGGCAACATAGCAAAAGCAAGAAAAACATTTAAAAAGATACAAAAGACAAAAGAAACAAATGCAAAAGCACCCACCAAAGGCAGAAACTCTACAAAATCAAAGAAGCAGCAAACGCAAAAGCAACAAAAGCAAATCTGAAAATATATATATATATATTGTGAAACGTGCAGTTCGCCGGCCGTTCAATGCTCGACCATGTGGCACCAGTCCATGAGGTGCGTGGGAGAGGTGACTTGAGACCAAGGAAAAGGACCGGTGTTTGGACAGGGTTCCATAGGTGCAGGGGTGGTGTTCGATAGGTTCACCTAGGCATATTCGCATTGGTAGCGGAGCCCCCAAAACATAGGGGGCAGGTTTTTTACTTTGCATCACGGGGCGTGATTTGCAAGCCATGGGTGGGGGCAAAGGTGGAGCCTCCAGTGCAGCGGCCGATGGTGGCGTGGGAGAAGGGAAATCTTCCTTTGCTACCAGTCAACTGCCTTGGAACCAAATCCCCAGTTTTACTGCGGGAGAGTCGGACTTGGAGGACTATGCCCAGAAGCTGATGTTCCTACACTCGATCTGGCCAGAGGAGTACATTTCACATCATTTCACATTTGGCCCCGAGGGCCGCTTTACAGTGTGATTCAGTGTCATTCAAGAAGGTGTCCAAGATCGATCCAAGCCGACTCAAATCCAAGGATGGTTGTGAAGAGATCCTCAAGGCATTGGGGATGCAGTGGGGACGGTTCCAAAATGAGGACCGCTACGTGAAGTTCGAACGAGCCTTGTTCCTGACTACCCAGAAGCCAGATGAAAGCAACGACAGTTACATAGCACGCCATGAGGCCTGCTTTGAGGAGATCCTCCAAAAGGACAAGGGAGTCACCCTGGAAGAGATAAGGGCCTATGTGATGATCAGACACTCCCAGCTCACAGGTGATGAGAAGAAGAAGATCATCGTGGATAACAAAGGGGAGTTGACCTATGAGGCCACTCGCAATTCCATGAGACTTCTGGGATCCAAGTTCTTCCAAGACCTTCAGGGTGGAGGTGGGAAGAAATACAAAACCTACGATGTGCACACCGTGAATGAGTCAGAACCTGTTTTCGCCGCCATTGATGAAGTGGTGGATGAGGAACAGGCCTTCCAGGTGATGTTGGAGCAGGGCGATGAGGATGCCATCTTCATCCAGGAGTTCGAAGACCAGATCATTGAAGCAGTACAAGAGTCAGGGGACCTTTCCAGCTGCTTCATGAGCTACCAGGATGCACGAGCACGTCTTCGAGAACGTGCCCGGCATCGAGGCTTTTGGCCATCACGAGCTCCAGGCAAAGGAAAGGGCTTCAATGGTGGTGGAAAGAAGGGAGGAAAAGGTAGTGGTGGCTACCCTCCACGACGGACACTGGCTGAGCGAATCGCCAACTCGACGTGTCGAATCTGCAACAAGCCAGGCCATTGGAAGAGGGAATGTCCACAGCGACAAGATCGACCAGACCGACAAGTTGACATGGCCACCATGGCTGAGGAGATGTCCGAGCAGAATCCACCTGAGCTCCCAGAAGACCTGCCGTTCGAGATCCAGGAACCTATTGAGAACCATTTTGTGCAACATTTTCCTTGTTATGCTCAAGATAGGGGGAGTGATGACTTGGTGAAACCGGTAATAGATGGTGAAGCTTTTCGTGAGGAGTGTTTTGTTAGCTTAGAAGAGTTGGGGTTTCGAGAGAAGTTGACCAGAGCACTCAATCATTCGGCAAGGCATCACGATGAATGTTCAGTGCGACGACCAGCCGGGACGCATGAAGCGACAAGCTTGAGCCAGTCTTTCTCCGTTCATCAGACCTCTCACGTTTCGGCCAAAGACGGCCATGAAGAATCGAGTGAAGAGGCGATTTTAGATACCGGAGCAAGCCGAACGATCATAGGTAGTGAAAGGGTCCCCCAGTTAGAAAGGGCTTTGAAGGGCATTGAGATTCAGCGTGGTCCATCACGGTGCGTTTTCCGCTTCGGTAACAGTGGTTTGCTCCATAGTGAAGAGGCACTGTTCTTGAAACGACATGGAAAAGGCTGGCTCCGCGTTGAGATCGTGCCCGGAAGCACTCCATT